CAACAAGATTACGACATCCTGTCCGTGCTCAGAGAAGAAGCCTACTTTGCCCAGCACCCCGAAGACCGGTCTGCAAAGGCACTTCATATAATGTCGGCTGAAGGTGACGTAGCAGGGATCATGGACGTCTTGATGACCGAGGCTGAGGACGCTGAGGAACTGTATCAAGCTGCGCCTGTGCAGCGCCTCACAACCTGGAGAGACCCGCTCAATGGTGGCCAGACGGCACTGCACGTCGCTATCGTGAACCGACAGGAGGATGTTTTCTGGCTGCTGCTGTGGGTTGCCACCCCGGGGGTACCAGAGACGGCTTTTCCGGCCGAAATCGCTCGGAGGGCCAATTCTCAAGTAATTTTGAGTCGGATGAAAACTGTGTATTCAGGCCAGATAGACCAAGGGGGGATGGATGTGAGGTTTGTCAGGGATGACAATGGAAGAACGCCGGGTGATTTGTGTCGGGAGGTGGGAAGTCCGTTTAGTGACTTCGCTCAGTCGGCTGTGTTCCAATAACAGATATCTAGATGCTAATAGAGATGGAATACAAAACTTTCTGAACCCGCTCAAACTTGACGAAAATATGGGAAAATGAAGTCTTTCAACAACGGCTGATTCACGAGAGGATTCTCCAAGCATCTCAGCTATGTTCGATAAAATGATGACCGGAAGGGAGAAGGAAGGTCCGACGCGCGATTAAACCCATCAGGTGACAGTGACGAGCTAGCTAGGTGAAGTAGCGAGCGTGAGAGGCACGGAGAAGAAACATACCTAGTATCATAGTTTGATAATTGTCTTGGGCCTGGAAACTCTTTTAAAATGGTCTAGCATCATTCATGGGATTATTTGCCAACCGACGAGTCTCAAGCCTAGGTAACTTAAGTAAAGTACATGACGACTTCCGACCTCCGGTTGTTTCCTGAGGTTTGACAAAATCATGTCTGAAATACACACTGACGGTCGGGGCGAGAGAACTTCCATGGCTTACTTTTGAAATAGATCCTCAAAAGATGAAGTTTCGGGATTGTCTAATTCAACTTCAAGTTCACCTGGGCAACATTACCAACTAATCGTAACGATCGTCTATAGGCTACATGCACATGTATTTTGATGGTTAATAGAACTTTAGACCCAACGTAAGGTGGCTAAGTCCAGTTACTAACACCAAAGATCAAAGGAACTGTCCCGGTAGATGACGGCACCTAGTTGTACTAAGCGCATGATATGATAGCTAGCCGACATTGCTGACTACCTGCCCTGTCAGCGCAGATCAGTTGACAGCAAACTTTTTTTTAGAAGACCTAAACCTTCAGATACCGCTTGGTGTTTCTCATTGCTCGGCCGAGTCGGGCAAGTCCTGCAGGCTTCAAGAGACCCGAGAGACTGACAAGTGAGAGACATCGTGGATGCTTAGTCACGCTGGATTATTTGCGCTAAGGGATCACCAAGCCCGGACCTTCAACCAGGCACGTGCCACTTTCGCTAGTGCGAGAAAAAGCTGCTTCAGGGCCAGCGCACAGACCGGACCCCTGTGTTTATGCCTCATTTCACCGCTCCTGGCCCACCACCCACACAATCCAAATTCATATTCCACCACTTTTTTTTCTTCTTAGGCGTATGTGAGAAAAACATCGACAGCCGACGACGACTAACCGACAGCCTTCAAGATGGGTACGTGAAGACCAGGTCTCTTTCGGGGGCCTTTTGTGTGCGAGTGGAAGAGTTCTGAAATATGATCTCTCTCTGCGAACCATGGCATCTTTTGCATCCTGATTGAAGTCGGATCATCTTTGCTGGCGATGGGCGCTCCTCGACGAGAGAGCGACCCTGAAGCCTCAAGATGCATCTGCTTCTCTATATCAGTCGAGCAGCCAATTTGAGCATACGAGAACGAAAAGGCTGACCGGGTCTTTCAACAACACAGGTATCGATCTGCGCAAGCACCACGAGCGGACCACGCACCGCCAGGCGCCTAAGAGCGACAATGTCTACCTCCGCCTCTTGGTCAAGCTTTACCGCTTCCTTGCCCGTGAGTCCACCCCCATTCATGCTACCACTGACTCGACATTTGCCCGTTAAAGCATGCGTGTGATTGATTACTTACCATTCTTGTGTGTGTGTGTGCGTGGCAGGCCGTACCGACTCGGCCTTCAACAAGGTGGTCCTCCGCCGCCTGTTTATGAGCCGCATCAACCGCCCGCCCATCTCCCTGTCGCGTATCGCCGGCAACCTCAAGAACGGCAACGACAAGAAGACCGTCGTTATCGTCGGTACCGTCACCGACGACAACCGTCTCCTCCAGGTGCCCAAGTGCACCGTTGCGGCCCTCCGCTTCACCTCCACCGCCCGTGCCCGCATCACCGCGGCCGGCGGCAAGGCCATGACCCTCGACCAGCTCGCTCTCGAGAAGCCCACCGGTGCCAACACCCTCCTTCTCCGTGGTCCCAAGAACTCCCGTGAGGCCGTCAAGCACTTTGGCTTCGGTCCCCACAAGCACAAGGTTCGTCTACAGTCCGGGTTGAAAGAGGGAGAAAAAAGTGGTGGTAAGACTGACACACTCTATAGAAGCCGTACGTTGCCTCCAAGGGCCGCAAGTTCGAGCGTGCCCGTGGTCGCAGACGGTCGCGTGGTTTCAAGGTCTAAGGGGTGTGTATCTTGCACTCTTTGGTCTCTTGTATTTGGTTGGCGTGGGATCTTGTCAATGGCAACGGTTTTTTGGAATGGAATGGCTTTGCAATGGTACTGAAAGCCATTGCATCTGTGCAGATGATGCGTGGTCTGGCGTAGACGGGCACATGGAACCCAAAAGTATTAACGAATTGACATGCATTGCTGCCATGATTTCTAATGATATACCCTGTTTTCCGTCCAAGTTCCGAGTGATATGATACATTGGTGCATTACATTTAGTGTACATAGCCAGTTCTCTTGACTGTTCGTGTGTGGTTATGCTGGGTCTAGTATTTCCGACGTATCCAAGACAACGTCCTTCCTTCGTAGCGCCACGAAATATGCCTCTCGAGATTCCTGTCACAGTTGGTCAACATCGCATACGAAAGCAGTGTTGGTCTAGTAGTGCTTACACTTCTCGAAGACTCGGGTTTCTCCCGATGAACTTTGGCAAACAGCTTCTTGAGGGTCATCTCAAAAGCCTTGTCTTCTTGGCCCTGGTAGAACTTGCAGACGAAATGTCCCCCCACGCGGAGGGTGTCGTTGGCGAAGGACAATGCGGCTCTGCAGAGGTCCTGTGCACATGATAACAGTTAGCTCGCGCACACAAGTTCCAACTTGTTTATCTATCCCGGCTCATAGTAAGATCGTTGAGTGTTGTAGCGTGATAGATAGCCAGGGGGTAGGGTGCGAGGTGAGTAGGTTGGCCAGGTGGGAAAGCAGAGAGGGTTTTGGATAGGTTGGAGTGGAGGAAAAGGGGGGGGAGGGGAAAGTGGAGAGGAAGAGGGGGAAGGGGGGGAATAAAGAGGGGGGTAAAGAAAGGGGTGCCTACCATAGAACCAGCGTGATCCTTGAACGTGATACCGCTGGTGTTCATCATCCTGAAGTGCAGATACGGGTTACTAACGCTGTTGACACGGAACCCGGAGGTCTGGGGCCAGGGGTCTGACATGTCGCTTAACACTACCTTTTTTTTTTTTGCTGTTAGTACCCCTCCGTTTTATGTATTTGTGTCTTGTCTCTGTATGTGCGTGTGTGTGATGGGATGGGATGGGGGGGAGGGAGACGTACATCTACCAACCGCATACTATTACCCTTCTCAGTCTTGTCTGGTGTATCCGTAGGTGCTGCTGCTGTATCCTCCTGTGCAGCGGTTGAAGGTGCGGACATGTGTCGCTCCATGTCGATGTAACTCGGCCTATCATCTACCACGTCTTCTTCAACAACACCCTCTCCTCTTTCTTCTTGCACCTCCTTTCGAACCTCCCCTGGCACCACCCCTTCTTGTACCCGTCCCTCAACCCCTTCTCTAGCTTCATGTTCCTTTTGCTGGCGTCTTTGCTGCAACTGTTCCAGTTTGCGTTCCCGTTTCTGGTTGGCAACCCGCTGAGCGTCTGTGACAAGCCACTCCTTCACCAGCCCCTGCACCGCAGCCGACAGAAAATTCCCCTGTATCGTACTCACTCCCTTCGGCGGCTGCGCGGGTATCAGATCGATCCCGAGAACCCGCCCGTCCGGCTTCGTACGCTCGAGCGCGACCTGTGACCAAGAACCAGGTGCATACCCCAAATCCACCACCACCTGTCCCTTTCGGGGACTGAAGAAATGATACCTTGCGTCCATCTCCAAAAGTTTGAAGGCGGCACGCGATTTAAGGCCCTGCACGCGCGCCTCTCGCGCGAAGGAGTCCTTTCCCTGGCGGGCTTTCCATCGCGAGTTTGATGATGACCACCTAACGCCACCTCTACCGGGACCCAAAAATGTGGTCGGTAGTAATATTGGAAGGTTGTAAAGGGTCGGTGTTGACAATCTGGTGACAGGTGTGATGATGGCGCTGTGGGTGATGAAGGGTGTGAGGAGGGTGCGGGTAAGACTGTGTGAGAGACGACATGACTGCCGCCGCGTCCATGCTGATATTAATGACGGCTTCATCCCTGCCTCCTCCGAACTAAAAAAAAAAAAAACCCTAGACGACGTATGCTGAGCAGATATCACCGTATAAACCGAATCTAAAGGAACTTGAACATTTCGTGTGGTGTTTGCAGGTAATAATGCATGATATTGATCTTCATGTTCTTAAGTGAGGTGGACCCCCTGAATGAACTGAAAATTAATTGGTGACATGGATAAGCTTATGCAACTAACAGACATACGGCACCGATAGACGTGAACCACCACCATCTGCATCAAAGCACGGTGCACGCACTCCGTTGCGAATAAGGATTTGAACAAGGCAGCAAAAATAGTAACTAAAAGCTACTTTCTCAAACGTCGCTGATATGTCTGTGAATCCGTGGATACAGATGTCATCACTTTGATGAAGAGCCAAAAAGAGTCGATCGAGCTGGGACTCGAACCCAGAGCCTTTACCAGCTGGAATGATTGAAGGATTCTCGTCCGTCCACTCACCGGAAAGTAACGCGCTACCATTGCGCCACCCGACCAATGATGTCTTGCTACGAGGTTAGAAGAGTATATCATCGCGACACGGAAGCTCCCAATTGCCATTGCCAATCCTACCCTTGCCATCACTCACAGTGCCCCTACTGCGTCAATGTCTCATCAGCACCGTATTCCAGTCCTGTGTCAAACTGAGACATTAAGTCTCTGCTGACGCCGTTGTCTCCTGTGCCATGCGCCAATCCACAGGAGCGCATAGTCATCTACTCGGATGCTCTATAGAGATACTTTCAGCTGGTATCTCCTGCTGTGAAACAGAGACGTATTTCCGCAATTCCGTCCCGCACTCTTCTGATTCTCCGACAAGCTTGCACGTCGCGCAGGACTCTGCTTCCTCAGTGCTCTTGATAAACCACCCGCTGACAATCAGCGTAAAGATCTTCCAAATCGCCTGCAGAATGACCAGGTCTGCCACCAAGACGGACACGAAGAGCGTCCCCGGCGGCTTCAGTTGAGGGATCTGGCAGACGTAGTCGGCGGTCAGCGCCGACGCATTGACTCCAAGTCGGACACTGTCGTCGTGGGTCGGATCGAATGTGTGGTCGAACGGCTGGACCTCCTCAATGCCCCATCGGAACGCGTTTCTCAGGGTCTGGTTGTAGTGCGTCAGGTTCGCGCTGAGCTGGGCCAGCAGCTCTGGCCTCGCGAGCATGTTTGGCATGTCATCGTCATCTCTGCCGAGGTCGGCCAGGACGCTGAACCACATGGCCTTCCCAAGCGCGTCCACCGGGTACCAGATGCTCAGCACGGGCTTCGAATTTGACGCCCCGAGAGCGAGCTCCGGGATTGAATTCACATCACACCAACTGAAATCGTGTGCAATGCCGGTTGCGTTGAGGAAGGGCAAAAAGCAGGAGACGGCGAAGAAGTCGCTGCTCGCGAACTGGTCTGCAATCGAGCCCGCGCGATTTGTAGTGTTGCGCCTCAGCGTCACCACGCCTTTGTTAAGCGGGGGGTCCATCCGCACGCTCTCGTCGTAGAATGCCTGCGCCGCGTATCGCGAGCAGATGGCGAGAAGGGAATATCCCCAGTACAGGCTAGGGCTGGTGGTCGCGTTCGGTCTCGCAAAGGAAGAGGATGGCTCATTTGGGGGCGGGACCGGATCGAAGGAGGTGAACATCTCGAAATATGTGCGGGGGCTCCCATTCTCAGGCGAGTCGGTACCAGTATCCACGAAGCATTCGGTAGTCGCGGTCAAGGCCACGCCCATTGCGGAGAGGGCGATCTGTCCGGCCGTCCGATCGGGACCTTCGAACAGTATCGAGACGCTAGACACGTTGCATTTCTGAAGCGGGTAGTTCTTGTATACCAGCGAGCCCAGGCTAATCTTTGTCTCGTTTGGGTCGTCATCCTTGTATTGCCACGCTGATGATAACCGGTGAGCGAGCACGCCATTGTTGGTATACACAAGGCTTTGAAGTGGTAGGTTCGCCGGAGCGCAAGATGGTGTCGCCCCAACTAAGAATGATGGCCATTTGGAGTACCAGAGGGAGTTGGCCTCAGTCGCGGCAGGGTTTGGACTGGAAATTGATATGAGTTGATAATCTGTCGCTGCGACGTTGAGGAACGAGGCTAGCGCAGTAGCTATTATCGCTCCCACAAGGGTTACCGGCGTGAATCATCTGAACGGATAACGGCGTGTGATGTTGAACGAGAAGAAGGAGCGGTGAGTCATGGCGAAAATTTTGACGGCTTTGCGGTAGGTTCTCGCATGGCCTTGGAGCTGCAGAAAACTCACCGTAGGGCTGCAATTCACAGAAGTCGGGCCAGATTCTAAGATATAGAGGCCCGGCGGCCGTCTTGTGTAACATTGACCCTTGCCACTGCAGCTGAAACTCCCTTGCATTGTTCGCGTCTGACAGATGAGGCGCGACCGTATGCATTGGACTTAATACTTGGCCACTCGGGTGTGGCCGTCTCAGAAGGCGCCTGGAATTAATAGCAGCTGCGCCTCTCTATGTGCAGTGCGCTTATCTTCCCAATCCGAGCATGGGAAGCAGAGTCCGAAGCAGCCATTGATTTGATCGGCTACCTTTCTTTTTGACCGGTCGGATTGTCTCTGACAGCCATCGCAGTCGAAAGAATACCTGTTGTGTCAGCTTCACCCTAACCTCAGTTAAGCTCAACTGTCAGACTTGCCAATAGAGGTTAGCCTTTGGTTAGTTCAGGGGTATCGTCAGGGGTTTCAACCTCGGCCATCGTATTCCATTGTTTACCTTGGCTATTGGAGTCAACAAACCTGTATATTGAGGCCTTCTTCAACGGTCTCCTTTTTCCTTCTTTCGAGGACTTCATCCATATCTAATTCAATCACTTTCTTCAAGTTGCCCACTGTCGACATCAACATAAAAAAACCAGGAAGACAAAGGAAAATCTGAAATACTGCAATGATGATGATAGTTTATAATTGGCTCGTTTTAATCTGGTTTGCTTACGTAGAGGTGCTGTTGGAAGAAATAATTTAGGGGTAAGAAAGAAGATGGAGACTGAGGTGTGGGGGAAACTTAAGAGATTAAGAAGTGAGCCTGGACATTAATAAATGCTTAACTGACGTCATGTAAACGTCCAAGTTAACGGGAAGAGCAACGGGAGAAGGAAAGGACGACCGTGAGACACACCCAACCCCACGCAATCCGGGCCCCGTCGAACAAACCAACACACGAAAGGCACCGATAGATGTCAGTGACTAAGGTACCTGTTGCAACTTTACCTACATGTACATACCTTAAGCTCATTGCTTTGCTCAACGAAACATGAATTACACACACCGTTAACAACCACCACGGATAAATCATACATGTCTGGGGGGTAACTCGAACGTATTTCTACGGTGAGCTAATACATGATATATATATATACAACCTGAAATCTCTAACTTATATACTTAGGTAGGTAGGTAGGTATGGGTGTTGTTTTGCAATTGCTTTTTCCGGCAGTTTTAATTCAATCTTTTATCTCGAAAGGCAATTGCTTTTTTTTTTTTCATCTTGACACGCACCCAGCCAACCCCAGTCCACCCAACAAACCACCACAGCCTCAGCTTAGAACGAAGGCTTGGCGTTCTTGAGAAGCATCTCGAAGTAGGCCTGGTTCCAGGTGCCGGCCTCGGGGGCGGGCTTGAAGGCGTCGTCCTTGCCGCAGAAGCTGTCGTAGCGGGTGGCTGACGAATCGCTCGTGCCGTCGGACTCGCCGCCGGGCTTGATCCAGACGAACGCATCGGCCAGGTCGTCGCCGGTGTCGGCGGTCGGGCGCACGCCGAAGCCGGCGCCGTTGACGTTGCACCAGTCGCCCCACTCCTTGCGGAGGCCCGTGACGGCGTTACGGCCGGTATCGATAATGGCGTGGTTGGGCATGCCTGCCGACTTCAACAGCGGCGCGAACGTGTCGACGTAGATCTTCTCGTTCTGGCACTTGTTGTACTTGGCGTCCGAGGCCGTGGAGAACTCGCCGGGGGATTGGTCCCTGGCCCCGAAATGTCAGCGAGGGTCGGGTGGGGGAGGGGGTGGACAAAAGGGGAGCAAAGGAAAAGGGGGAAAGAGAGACAGAGAGAGGAAGAGGGCGTACGTACCATGAGTTCCAGCCGGCGGTGTTGGTGGCGAACCCGCGTAGCTGCTTGGGATTGCCTCCAGCCTTAAAAGCCTTGGCGAGCTCCGCCGCGCCGGGCTTGAGGTTGGCGTCCCAGCCGAGCCAGCCGCCGTGGCCGGCATCAAGATACATCACCACGTTGGGCAGGTTGAGCTGCTTGATGGCGTAGGCGACGCCGTCGCGGTAGCCGGACGCGCTGTTCTTGCAGGCGTCCTTGTCGCTGTTGGTGACGAGGTTGGGGAGCGAGTCGGGCTCGATGACGAGCGCGAAGGCCGTGTTGGGGTGGGCCTTCAGGAGCGTGACGATCGCTACGAACTGTCAGCATCTGATATGTGAGAGGTAAGGGAGGCAGGGTAACTTACGGTCGATGTACTCGCTCTTGTACCGGCTCAGCTCGCCGACCTTGAGCTCGCCGTTGGAGGCCTTGGCGGCGCAATCACGTCCGGGAAGGTCGTAGATGACCAGACCCAGGATGTGGTCGCAGGGGACATCAGCAAGAGCGGGCTCGATCTTGGCAATGTTGGCGATGGTGTCGATCCACAGGAAGCTACCGACGTCGGCGACCTTGGCGGCAGAAGCAGCCAGGCTCGAGTCCGAGAGCTGCGCGACGGCGGCCGTGACCTCATCGCGGTAGAACTTGTTGGCGTGGAGCGTGTACTTCTTGAACGGGTTGCTGCTGGCGTCGATGGTGACAGCCGAGGAGCATCCCGTAGAAGCCTGGCGGGGTTGTTCGGGGGTCGTCTGCGAAGGCGCAGCGAGGGCCGTGGTAGCGGCGAACGCCAGCACGGCAGCGCACTGCGTCTGCGTGAGCTTCATGTTGGGCGAATGTTGCACACACTCAACACGAACAGCTGTCGTAGGGCTGATGAGGGAACGGAAAGAAGAAAAGCCAGCAACCGAAGGTGGGTGGATGGTCTTTATACTGGGGTGAATGGCCTCATCTCGCCCCCTTGGCCTTCGTCTCTTCCCATAACCCCCTGAGCAATCAATCTGGCCTGGAGATTAGACCAATGCTTGTCTCCCATTCTTCGTCTAACTCTCAGAGCCCATCCGAACGGGCTCGAGAAAGTCGCTCATCGTTCGAAAGCAAGCAATCAATCAGGAAGACAGGCCCGTCACTCGCGAGACGTCTCGGCCAGGGACTTCCGAGGAAGGACCAGAGCCGCGTTCATGATGTGCCTGATTGGTATATGGAATGCGGGGCTGATGGTAGGTGCCGTGGCTGACGAGTGGACGGATCTCAAGATGCCATCTCAATTTTCATATAGAGCCTTCATTTCTGAGCTCAGTAGACGACCGTCGGGCCGACTTTGGATTGGTCACGACTCCCTCGGGTGCCCTGGGGGTCAATAGAAAGTGTGGGGAAGGGAAGGAAGCGCCTCATCCCTGGGCAATATGA